AAATGATCTAGACTCTAGAGCAGTGCTATCTAATAGAAATATGTGAGCCACATTTTTAGCAGCCACATTTAAAAAATGAAAAGAAACAGGTGAAATTAATTTAATAATGTATTTTATTTAACCCAGTATATTCATTTTTCTTAAGACTATTTTTAGAGCAATTTTAGGTGCACAGCAAAATTGAGCAAGAGGTAGAGACTTCCTATGAACCCCATGCCCCTACACGTGCATCATCTTCCCCATGATCAACATCCCTCATCAGAGCAGTCCATTTGTTTTAATTGATGAACCTACATTAACATGTCGTTCTCACCCAAGTCCATAGTTTACATTATGGCTCACTCTTGGTGCTGTACCTTCTATGAGTTTGAACAAATGTATAATGACATATATTCACCATTATAGTATCATACAGAGTAATTTCACCGCCCTGAAAATCCTCTGTGTTCTGCCTATTCATCCCTCCCTACCCCACTTAATCCCTGGCAACCACTGATCTTTTTACTGTCTCTATAATTTCTCATTTCAATGTGTAATTGATATAAAAATTATATGAGATATTTACATTCTTCCTTTATACTAAATTTAAAAATCTGGTGTATATTTTATGCTAACAGCACATCTCAACTAGGACATTTCAGGTGCTCAATGGCCACATGTGGGTAGTAACTTCCAACCTGTGGGTAGTAACTTTCATATAGAGTAGTTCAGGTCTATAGGAATTCATACTAAAATTCATACCTCTGGAGAGGAGATGGGAATAGAGGAGGAGAAGGTGAGAGTTTAAGAGAAGGGCTTTGTGATGTTCTAATTTTTGTGTTTTTAGTAGAGATGGGGTTTCACTGTGTTGGCCAGGCTGGTCTTGAACTTCTGACCTCAGGTGATCCACCCAACTTGGCCTCCCAAAGTGCTGGGATGACAGGCGTGAGCCATTGCCCCAGCCCGTTCTTCCTTTTTTATGTGCAACAAGACCAATGGTGTTTGCATTACACTCTATGAAATGGTTTCACACATTATTTTGAGCCTTAAAATAACTTTATAAGCAGGGAAATTAGTTATTATTATCTCCATTTTACAGATGAGAAAACTGTGGCTCATCAGAGATTCAGCGATTTATACAATAGAGCCACAACTAGCACCCATGGCACCTTTGTGTGAATAATGAAAAGGTGCCCCTTCTCCCAACGGATGCCTCTCCAGGGCTTCTCTTAGCAAGTGAGGGGCAAGCTGGATTCTGGCCTCCAAGCATCCTTGGTTGGGCACCTTTGTCTCTGCACAAGCTACTGTGTGTTACAGCTCTAGTCACACAGCCAATAAGTGCTAGAATTGGACCTAAACCCAGACCTCCTGCCTCTGGATCCTGCCTTTGTGCCTCCCTTTCTAAGGTTACACAACATTCCTTTCTCCCTCCTTCCTCTCTTTTAGAAAATATTCCTTTCTCCCTTCTTCCTCTCCTTTTTAGAAGATATTAGAGCCCATTGCCAAGAGTTATCTGTTATTTACTCTTCAATGGTTTTATTCTTCTCTTTGTTGTCTACAGTACTGCCTCTTGTCCTGGAATTGGAGGTTCAGCACTAAATAATTACTTTTTTTCAAGCATCTGTTTTGGAGATTGGGGCTTTGTTTCATTTTGTTCTGTCTTGTGTGTGTATGTTTTAATTGTTGTGTTTATTTTTGATACAGATTTTCTGTAAAACACGTAAGTATTCTACCTAGAGGTAAATTCTAGGAAATTGTTCTTCCCTATTGCAGAAATTCTTAACAGATACCGAACAAGAACTTGACATACAGTCACCTTTTGATAAGTTTTCTAGATTTCATTTGAGCCCTTCAGAATAACCTAGTCATTTCTTTGTCTTTGTCTTTCTTTTCTTTTCTTCTTCTTCCTCTTCTTCTTCTTCTTTTTTTTTTTTTTTTTTTTTTTGAGACAGGATCTCACCCTGTCGTTCAGGCTGGAGTACAGTTGTTCAATCATAGCTCACTGCAGCCTTGAACTCTTAGGCTCAAGTGATCCTCCCACTTCAGCTCCCAAGCAGCTGGGACTGTGGGTGCACATCTAGCCATTTCTGATCTCAGCTTTTAGGTTTAGAAGACTGCGTTAATTGCCAGTGTTTTTTTAAATAGGGAAAAGATGAATAAAAAATAATGTTTGTTTGTTAATAGTCCAGAATAGTGACTCTAAAAATATGAACATAGGGTTAAATGTTTCCAGCTATGTTGTTACCTGAAATTTAGCTTTTTAGAAACAGTTTATTTGTGGTTCTGCTCCTTGAATTTCTTATATGCCCAATAAAGGAATTTAAGTAGATGTTTAAAAATGAAGCTCTCCTTTTATAATTCAAATTTTCTTAATTGTTATATGTGCAGATGTTTTAGTATCCACCTTTAAATCAGTAAAGCAACCTTGCTTTTTGTTGAAGGAAAAAGTCGTTGTTGATGGGGCTTTGACATTTTATTTTGAAATTGTTAGGATGTGGTTTGTGGCTTCTGTAATTTCTTCTTCATGAATTGTCAGCATCTAATCAAGAACTAAAGCTGTTTAGTAATGGAATATGGTGCATTTATGTAGGTTTCTCCACTCTCTTTATAATGTTCAGCTGCATAGCGTAATGAATAGGATGTTTAACCCCATACACATGATAACTTGTTTTAAAGTATTGATTGATTTTCTAGACATTCGCCATTGCTGGATTGGGATCTGGACTAACAGAAGCCGTTGTAGTTAACCCTTTTGAGGTAGTAAAAGTTGGCTTGCAAGCAAATCGGAACACATTTGCAGAGGTAACCATTTAATGTTTTTCTATTGTTGAAGGCATGTAAAAACTTATTTACTTATTTATGTATTTTGAGATGGAGTTTTGCTCTTGTTGCCCAGACTGGAGTGCAATGGTACGATCTCGGCTCACCGCAACCTCCACTTCCAGGGTTCAAGCTATTCTCCTGCCTCAGCCTCCCAAGTAGCTGGGATTACAGGCATGCATCACCATGCCCAGCTAATTTTGTATATTTTTTGTAGAGACAGGGTTTCTCCATGTTGGTCAGGCTGGTCTCGAACTCCTGACTTCAGGTGATCCACCTGCCTTGGCCTTCCAAAGTGCTGGGATTATAGGCATGAGCCACCACGCCTGGCCATAAAAACTCATTTTTAAGTATGCATGTGAAACAATGGACCCAACTTTTATCCACTTATTAAAGCCATAGTAAATCACTGTTAAGGAAATAGCATAAGAAAACATCAAATATCTCCTGCAAGTAAAGTGTTAACAAAAATGCACTGAGACCTAATGGACAAACACTTGTTTATTCATTTTTATTTTAGAGCTCTAATGTAATCTGAAATGACTTATTCGGAAATATTCTCCCAGCTGCTGGCAAAACTTCTTTTCAATTGCTCTAGAATGGACTATAGCTAAACCACTGAGGTGATAACATTATTTTGCTTTTTTAAAAAAAAAACTGAGTCTTTTTATAAAAATGACCTCACTCCTTTCCCCACTACACCCACCATCCGCCCTGAAAGATTCGGATAATCTGTCAAACTTGTCTTTTGGTTGAATCTGAATGAGCGCTTGGACAATGATGGGTCTTGACATTTCATCATTGGTACATGACGTTTCGTGCAGACAGCATTCCTTGGTGTGTGCTGCCTTCACTTCCTTCCAGTTACCTAAGAATTCCCTTTCAACTGCCAAATCCAACTGTTCTTGTTTTATTCTTTTGGGTGCCAGGCACAAGGTAGGAGGAAAACAAGGGGATTGGCATTCCAGGTTTCTTCTTAACATTTTAATTTAATTCCACAACTGGGTAGCATGTGGTAGAAATTGGTTTGGAGTATCTGCTGACCTGGATCTTTCTGTAGGAAAGTTCCCCTGCCTACCGCGTAAGCAGCTGCTAATGGGTGGAGACCCTTCACTCCCACCCCACTTCCTGCCTGCTGCTGATGCTGCCTGAGAGCTTCCTGGCAGTTTCTCAGGCAGGGGTATGGGAAAGGAGGGGGGCCCTACTCACCTTTAGCTGCCAAGACCTGAGGGGACAGGGTTGGGCTGTTACAGCAGATGGTATCTACTTAGATGAGGTCAATCCTAATTCAGGGGGAATTTTTTTTACATTTCAAAAGATTGTCTTAAATACAGTGATATACAGCACCTTATAAAAAGTTGAAAATCTCTGTATTCTAGTTTTTGTTTCTCTTTATTCTTTCTTGAATAAAGGAAAAAGATGGTAAGGAATGGGGGAGGGGAAAAGAAACATTTTTTAAATGTCTTATTAATATGGAGCATTTGAAACAGTTCCCATGGAATCTGCTTAAGGAAAACTTGGTTTGTTGGACTGGGAGAATTACCAGCTAGAAGAATATTGCAGAGATCCCTGTCCGGTGTTCCATCTTACCCCTTGGGAATCTTGTCTTGAAGCAGCAATGAGTAGGCAAAGGAATAAACAGGACTTGAGTTGCAGTTCTTTATCTAGGCAGCATGTAACCACAAGGACTCAAATGGGACAGAACATCAAGGGGCACTCACAGGAATGAAAATCATGAGTTATCAGGGCACCTCGACTCATGCTAATGTTCTTTTTCTCTTCACTGCCCTCAAGGAGGCTCTGCACTGAGGCCAAGTAAGAGCTGCTAATGTTTTGCATGTGCTAATGACTTGCTAGAACACAATAAACACCCTTCCTGCCCAACAAAAGAATGTGTTGCATGTGTACATGCCACCAGTTCATCACTTACACAAATGCAGTCAGTGTAAATTATGTATATTTAGCCATTTTTTAAAGCAGGGGGCAGGGGATAGCAGGAGCTTGTTTGGGGTCATTTCTTTTGCATTATCCACTGAACTGGACATTATCAGGTATTTACTTAGAATAAAATTAAAAATCTAAGTAAATACATTATCAGGTATTTACTTAGAATATTTACTTAGAATAAAATCAATTAGATGCATTATAAAATATTTTAAAAGTGACTTTAGTTAGAATTTAGCAAAGTAGTAATTATGTAGGTAACACGCATCAGCATTCATTTACAGCAGCTAGCAGAATTCAGTAGCTGAAATGAGGTGTTCTGATGCGGCACATTATGGGCAATGTTCATCGAATTGAAGCAATAGGTGCTTTTCCTCAACAGACAGTAATGGGATTGTGCCTATTGTAGAAAATGTCTGAGAAAAAGAGATGATGTGATAAGAATAGAACATTTGGATCTAGTTATTTAGAAAATAATTGCTGGTCATTTTTGCTAGTATCTTATAGGTCTTTTGTCTAGGACTCAATAATGCCGAAGCCTTCTTCATTGACTAGCTCCTTCTTTTATCCGACAAGGGAATAGATGCCCTTTAGTTAACCTGTGCCTGTGTTGATTTAACTCAAATATTAGGTATGCTCACCTCGGCATGTGTATGACCAGGAATAATTCTTGGTTTCTTCACTCTAAGGCTTTGTGGGTTGTTAAGTATAAAAGGGAGATGTGGAGGAAGAGGAAGAAGAGGAGGAAGAGAAATGGAAAAAGAAAAGAAGAAAAGAATTAATGTAATGTCCACTGCCTTTAAAAATTTGACTTAAAAAGATTAATGCAAGCATAAAAGTAATGCATATTTATGTTACAAAGCACCAAAATATGTATGTTATTTTATATGCATGTATATGTACACTTAAATATCCATGTATAAGTACACCAAAAATGATCTAGACTCTAGAGCAGTGCTATCTAATAGAAATATGTGAGCCACATTTTTAGCAGCCACATTTAAAAAATGAAAAGAAACAGGTGAAATTAATTTAATAATGTATTTTATTTAACCCAGTATATTCATTTTTCTTAAGACTATTTTTAGAGCAATTTTAGGTGCACAGCAAAATTGAGCAAGAGGTAGAGACTTCCTATGAACCCCATGCCCCTACACGTGCATCATCTTCCCCATGATCAACATCCCTCATCAGAGCAGTCCATTTGTTTTAATTGATGAACCTACATTAACATGTCGTTCTCACCCAAGTCCATAGTTTACATTATGGCTCACTCTTGGTGCTGTACCTTCTATGAGTTTGAACAAATGTATAATGACATATATTCACCATTATAGTATCATACAGAGTAATTTCACCGCCCTGAAAATCCTCTGTGTTCTGCCTATTCATCCCTCCCTACCCCACTTAATCCCTGGCAACCACTGATCTTTTTACTGTCTCTATAATTTCTCATTTCAATGTGTAATTGATATAAAAATTATATGAGATATTTACATTCTTCCTTTATACTAAATTTAAAAATCTGGTGTATATTTTATGCTAACAGCACATCTCAACTAGGACATTTCAGGTGCTCAATGGCCACATGTGGGTAGTAACTTCCAACCTGTGGGTAGTAACTTTCATATAGAGTAGTTCAGGTCTATAGGAATTCATACTAAAATTCATACCTCTGGAGAGGAGATGGGAATAGAGGAGGAGAAGGTGAGAGTTTAAGAGAAGGGCTTTGTGATGTTGAATGTTTTAACATGAGAATGCATTCGTGTTTTGTCTGTGAACATTTACATGCATGTTCTTCGTAGAAAATTTAGAAAATTTAGAATAGTTTAAGGAAAAGTATGTTATCCAAAGGAAATGCTTCTAATGGCTCTGCCAAGATCAAGCCCTGCCTTCAGGGAAGATCTTCTCAGCCGATCAGGTGGGAATGACTTGCTGGCCTATCTTGGAGCTCAACCTTGCGTAATTCAGGTGCCATGATTTCATTTATAGGAGCAGAACCCATATTTTTTCCTACTCTGTAATTTCTAACAGAGTGTAAACTTTGTTTGCCAATTATTGAAGAGCATGTACAATCAGAGCTGTGTAGAACAGGAAGAACAATCTTGTGGGGAGAGACACAACAAAGTTCTCATTACACTTTTTACCATTATCCCATAGTGTGGCCTTGAACAGCGTACATGCAGTTCCCTCATTGGTAAAATGGTAGTGATCAGTCCATCTCCTTACAGCAAGCCATTTGTGTAGTGGTTGGAAGCACAAGACCTGGAGGGAGATCTCAGTTATTGACTATGTGACAGCCTCACATTTCCTACCCTGACCCTAGCCCAGTTTCCTCATTTGTTAGGAAAAAAATAATAGTAATAGCCATGTCAAACAGTCAAATAGATGAGACTACATAAATCTGTCAGTATGGCCTGGCATGCAGTGATGGTTCAGTAAATGTTAGTCATTATTATTACTACATGATTGTTATGAGAATTTTAATGTGTTAATATACACAAAGGCCTTAACACAGAGCCTGGAAAATGGTAGGCATTCAACCAATGATAACTATTTCTAGATGCAAGATGATCTTACGAATCCGTAAGTTTAAGTAGAGACAGATTTATTTTGAGCTATTGCCCCAATTAATATTGAGCAGTCACAGCTGACTCCTGTTTGGGTCACCAACAGAGCTCACTGAGCAACGGTCTTCTCCCTCAGTGTACCTTAGGTCATTATCAGATGCCAAGGCCATCCATTCAGCCTGAATTCCTTATGAAGGCATATGGACTGGCAGCCTGCTTACAATACCTGTTGATAAGGTCTTTAAACTCAGATAAGGGCCCATTATCATAAATAGCAGTAGCTGGATATCTGTTTACTGTAAATAACTAGCACTTAGCAGCAGAAGTTAGAGATGAAACTAAAAACATTTGAGGCCACTTTGGGAAGAATTCTACCACAATCAAGAGATTTCTTCCTCTGGAATAGCTGTATAAAGTTAACATGAATTCTCAATTAAGCCTTCTCAATCACTTCACATGGAAGGTTAT